GGGGGGCATTAAGGGAGATAGAGACAACAGAGAAAGAAAGAAAAAACTTAAGGCTAAGCACAAAAGCCCCTGTTCTATAAACTTTAAAGTAATTAAACTCTGCAGCAACTGCTCCAGAAATAAACTGAAGCCAGGAGCGCTCATACTGGCCAAGTTTGAGGCACAACCCCTCAGTGCTTATGGGAAAACCAATGGCTGCATGCTTACAAGAGATGCTGGCCTGCGATTATTTGGTTTGCACTCAAGCAAGTTTCCCCTCTTGTTCCCTGTTTGTAATTCATTAGTATGATGCTACAAATCTTATGCCAGGTATAATTTATAATATTTGGGATGCTTTCTAGTACCACCCTCAGGGGTGTTATTAAAACACTAAATAGTAAAACATACATATAACTACATATACTGTACATATAAGCAGTATTTTAAGCAGTTTTGTATAATAAAATTAAATTAAAAACATAATTGTAATAATAATATAATACAATAATAAACCAAAAAGTATATAATTGCTTAATGTATATTAAACATATTTAGCAAATATTTATGTATATATTAAGCAGTATTATATTATAAAATGATACTGTATCAGTTAAAATTTGTTTTAAATGACAAAACAGTAGATCTGCTGTTCAAAATGTTAAAATAATTGACTTAAAAAACTATATATATATATATATATATATATATATTTCCCCTTCCATAGATGCCATAAAGCATTTTCAGGGGTCCCAGTATGCAGTAATCAAACTATCCCACTGGGTGGCAGATTTCCAAGTTTTTCAATTCCTTTAAGCTCACCTTGATCCCTGAAAGCTTTTCCTGATATTAAATGAATAACAGTACAGTGAACGCAGCACTGGCATAACTGTCACGTTCATGACAAACAGATGTCTTCAGAAGTTGTATTTTTAGTGTTGACTGTGGCTCACACTCACTCCATGAATGCCGTTTCAATGTTAAGGAGGGTGAAGAGCCTGTCCCCATTACAAGACACAATCTCTCTGCATTGCCAGTGAAATGTTCTGTTATCTCATACCAAATAATAAGAATCAACCATTTATCAACATTGAAAACAAGATGCCTCTCCTCCACGGGTACCATGCAAACCCATGCCCACTAAGAACAACTTCTTGGACTCAAGGCAAACAAAGGAGAAAAGGAGTGTCTGTGTCCACTGAGAGGTCACTGGGGTTGGGTTAGGCCCTGTCAGCATCACACCCTCTGTTTAAGTCATTACAATATTGCCATTGTGGGCAATCATGATGACAAAGCAGAGAGATGCATCAAGGGATCCTAGATGCATGTCTTTGTATTTTTATGTACAGTGTCTCTGGTCACATTCGCACACACTGACACTAGCGGCCTCTCCATATTTCCCAGCTTTTTCTTAGAGGTGTTTCAAGCAACAGATGGTAAATGATAAGTGAGACTGAGAGGTGATGGTTTTCTTCTCTCCACTCACATGGTAATATTTCATAATTGTTGTTGTAAGTGGAGCTACTCTATACACACCCAAACCGTTTAAGGAGGCCCTGCTGCATGTGCAAAGATCATTTATATTCTTAAGATTTGGTTTCCTTGTTGGAACTTTCCTAGCATCATGTTGTTTTCATGCGGTCACAGTGCGTGGCATCTTTTATGCCCATTGAGATTCTGTTTTTAATTAAGAGTATTTCTTGGTGTACAGTTTCACAGCATAGTCATGTATGAGGATCTCTTTTAGTATACTTTTCCATCTTACGTTTGTTCTGAAAATACAAAGGTTTTCACTGATGTCAAACATATATATAGAATATATGATGGATATTATATATTCTAAAGTGATATACTTTAGCTTTTAAAATATTTTTTACAATACAGATATGGTCTTAATTTGACATTTTAATTCAAGTAGGGCTCAAAACAAGGACTAATATGGTATAAATATTTAATATTAACTGGGTTTGGCAGTGATGCCAAAGAAGAACCATTCTGGGATCCCCTTGAACTTGCATTTGCAGCATCTCAGAAAACCAAAATAATTGTTTTTCATGCAATGCCACGGAAGTAAGTTTAATTGTCAACACAAAAATCAAATTTTAAATAAACTGTTTAACCAAGATGTTTAAGGTTGTGGCAATCCATATCTGAGTAGAGTAAAATCGATTTCTGTCGTGTTTAGATATATTAGATATTTCTTATCATTGTCAAAAAAGTTTTGCACACAAACTGGAAGACAAAGCTCTGATGCGTGGAGCCTCCAGACAATGAAAGCATCGAGAGAAGTGAAGATCTACTTACGACAGAAACACAGAAGAACAGATGTTTGAGCCCACAAACTGCAGCCTCCACGCCCCATAATATCTCACAATCCGAAGATCCCAAACCGTTGAAGCGATGCCTTTATTTTCTTTATCTGCTCGTGTCAAAGTCACAGATAAGCTCATCTGTACGAGAGTTCAGGACTGTGTATGTGTGTGTGACTGAGTTCCGTGTAGGCGGATCCAGATGTTTTTAATCCAGATGTGAGTGAGAGCGGATCCGCCCAGGAATTTGGAGCTTGTAGTGAAAAGTACAATGTTCGTGCAGTCTATCAGCAATTTTGTTTTTTTTTCTTTCTTTCTTTCTTTCTTTCTTTCTTTCTTTCAATAATTATAAAAGACTAATAATAGGCTAATAATAATAATAACAACAACAGGCCTAATTTAAACGAAGGAAAAAATATGAAAAAGTGACAGGTTCAGCGCAATTTTGCTGTGACATTACAACTCTTGTAAATGTAGGCTAAACAGTGTTGGGGAAAGTTACTTTTAAAAGTAATGCAAGTAACTCAGATATTCTCTTGTAAATTAAAAAGTAATGCGTTACTTTACTAGTTACTTGAAAAAAGTAATCTGATTACGTAACCTACGTTACTTGTAATGCGTTACCCCCAACACTGAGGCTAAATATATTCAAAAATAATTTCAGTGTGATTTTGAGACTTTTAAACACCGTTAGGAAATGCTTCAACTATACTTCAACTATTTTATCAGGTAAAGTTAGGAAATAATCAGCTAAAATCATTCTAATGAAAGTAGCTTATTGTAGCCTAATTATTATTAGGCTATTTATAGACCTAATTTATATATATTTTGCTTCACATCCTTTCATAAGCCAATCTTTAAATTAATCTCAATAATTTCAACCGAGAATGAATTTTAAATGCCATTTATGCCATTTTATGTTTCACTGCACGCGCACAGACGCCCAAATAGTGAAAGTGGCCAACGCGCAAGCGCGAGAGTGTAAACCATGGCGGATTCAGGAAGCGAGGCTATAGCGGTGATTGGAAACACAGATCTGACGCCTTCGGAGTCGGAAAACAACTTAAAGAACACGGTAAAGTCCATAGCTGATTGTTTTTATGCGGCGTGCCCGATGGTGTGCTGTTTTGTAGATGTCGCGTGCGCCAGCGCGTGATCTTGCTTTGGCTCATGAATGGCTATGTCAGTATTGCTAAAATATCAGCAGGTTCTGCGAACACTTTACATGAACTACATACATGTTGTTGTTGTTTTTTTAAATTACAGTGTGCTTATGTAAAGCCACATACGTAGAAAGTTGCTTCACTTTATGCGGTCAATGAAGAGCCTTTGCCACGTAACGTTAACGTTAGTTTGTAAACACCCAGTATCTCATACACTCATATAACGAACGTCAGTCCACATCATATTGAATATTCTGTTATTTTCAAGTCTGTAGATTATCGATATATCAGCAAATAGATGTTGTTTGCCGCTCCATAGTCGAAATTTTTTATGGGCTGATGCTTGAGACATGGGACAAAATATGTCCAATATCTTCTGTTAGTTTTTGAATATAGCAACTTACATTGAGAAAGTGATCAGAAATGATCACAATAGTGTTATTAACTCAAATGTATAATTTAATTTGGTTTTCTTTTTATTATGACATTATTGCACGTAAAACTTAAAACCTCCGGTCAAGTTGTTGAAAATCAGTGTGAAACCATCTTCCAGTCTCCATTTATTCATTAATTCATTGTCTAGATTTATAATAAATATTTGTTGGTCACATTATGTTTGTGTCTGATGGTGTTTACTCATACTGAGCAATACTATTAGCATGGAAAACATTTAATATTGTGAAAAAATGGAAGCAGGAGATTTCACCCAAACTTGTGAATACCTTCCTTTTTATACCACCTGCCTCTGCCTAACAATAAAGGGTAACTGATCATGGTTCAGGTCAGAGATATAAATTAAAGACTCTTGCCCTTTTTTTATTTTGGAAAGGGAGGAACTCTTTGATATGTCTAGACTTCCTGTTTCAGAAGGAAATATGTCAACACAGGAGAGAAAACTCTTCTCGTCAACCCATTTAATAAGATCTTCAAAGCATAGACATCATTATCTTTTCAAAAATGTAATACCTAAAATCTCAACCTCAATATCGAAAAGTGTCCTTTTTTTTTTTTTTTTTTTGCATTGAACGTATCATAATGGTACTGTAATGGTATTGAACATTGGGGATTCTCTGGACCAAAATTTACAGATGGTTGAAAAAGGGACAAGTCTTCTGAAGAAGATGGAGATCAGTGTGGCTGAAGCAGAGAAGAGGACTGGGAAGAATGCCGTCAATATGCAGGAGACTTATACAGTGTATCTTATAGAGACGAGGTAAGACACTTGACTTCACTTTCACAGTACTACAATGCATCATTAAAGGTGAAATGTGTAATTTCACCAGATTGACAAAAGTAATGAATGTTTTCGAAAAGTCCCATCCTGAAATCACACATTGGTTGTGCCCATATTGCTGTGTCAGGTTTTTTGAGAATCAAGATTTGAATGAATTGATTGATTACTTACAGTAGCATTAAATTTGACATTAAATAGAAATTCACCCTATATACACTGTGAAAAATTGTTGTAAATAAAGATGATTTGAGTACATTTTACAAGAAAGTGCTGCTTTAGTCTTTCTACTTCAAAATTTCACATTTAATTAAATGTGTTTATTGCTGTTTCTTTGTAATTATTTGTGAAATGTACCAGCAAATTTTGAATGAAAATTGTTTTTCAAGTAAATCCTTTTTTGGTAGTATATTTTCTAAATGCGTGTTATTGATTTCATCGCGACAATTCATTCATGCATACGTTTCATTTTTTACATTTATCTTTTTTACCGTGTAATTTTTAAATGTCATAAAACGACTTCTTTCTGGTGTCGTATGCTGGATTTCTCCTGTCATTTTGTTCATATAAACTCTGCCCCTTTTTACAATCGACTGCAAGCTTTCATTAAGATCTACCTCCATCCAATCCGAATAATTATACTATGGAGTTTCTATTGATAGAAATTATATTTATACTGTAGTCGAGCCAATACTAGACACAAGTATTAACTAAATACTTGTTCTTTAAAGATGTCTAGGAGCCATTCAAACCCTACCATGTCACAAGTATTGTACAGTAGATGTTCCTTTCTTGACATGATAATGAAGGTCAGGGGTTTGGATGCAGTCAGTTTACAGCTGGAAGTGTGGATCTATCTAAACTAATCATTTTTAGCCATTGCAAAAGATCCGTTCGGTTATAATGTGCATTTTCTTTGTGAATGCGAATAACCTATTGTAGATAAAGCAGGTTTACACATTGACTGTCAGACTGAACTATGAACTGAACACAAAATATGAAGGAGTCATATACAGCATAGCTAGACCAGCTCAGAAACTGTGGAAGCTGCAGCAGACTGGTAGAGACCATCGGATTTCCTCTCTTTAAGTCCACTTCATATTTAAATATTTACACTAGACCTTTTCTTCCTGTGCCTGGAACTGTCACTTTCATGTTCTTTCTACATCAAGTAAAACAAAACAGGAGTATCCCATTGGACAGGAAGTGACATGCAACAGAAGTGTCACTTTCACCTTTCGCTCTCACCCTCATCACCCCACCAAGCTTTGTGTTGGAAAGAGGGACGTGTCGTTCTGGAGAGGGTGACGAGTCAGCACTTCAGGCAGATGTGCTTCGTCTGTGTTTCCAGCAGTGCCAAATACGCACACACTGGCCAGAGTGCAGTAACATATTATCACATGATTCAAAAACAATACTTAGTGGTCGGTCGAACTCATTAAATCACTGTCTTTAACCAAGACATTTTCAAACGTGTTTTTTGGTACCGTCCTGTAACTGGAAAAGCATCCATAACTAGATTTTCACATTTTCTTAATTAAATTAGAATGGTGCTTGTTCATGCAAAAAGTTACCTTTAGTTTTTACATGACCATTTATGTGTTTGTCAGAGGTTTTATTGAAAATGACTTGCATTGCATTGAAGATTTATTTTAATTTTACCAGTGCATCCCCTGGAAAATGAACCCATGACCTTGGTGTTGCTAGCATACTGCACATGCAAACAGTGGGCTTTAGAGAGCAGTTTGGTGCCACTGATCTTGGAAAAAGTTCTACAGTCTGAGTGGAGAATGCCTCTCAGCCAATCCTCACCTTCCTTGTGCTTTGATTTCATCATGGATTATTAGCATGGAGCACATTATGAGCTCCCATTTCTTCCCTGGAGCCCTCAGGAAGTTAAGCTCTAATTTCAAAGTCTCCCCATTTTTCTTCAGTGTTCCCCCTCTCCCCCATGTATATTTCCTTCCCTGTATCTCTTAATTTATTTGGCATTTTTCCATCTGAATTATTCAGGGCTCCAACAATTTCACAATTTAAAAAGTGTTTTTTTCCATGCCTGGAAAATTCATGGACTACGTAAAGTTTATAGCTGTACTAAGCTGTAAAATATTTGTCATTAAAAATAATAAATTAATAAATTTAAAAAGAAGTCAATTAAAATGATTCATAATTGAATAATAATTAAATACATTTAATGTATAGTCTGTTATCGCATTGTGCAATATTTTGGGGGAAACATCTGTGTGTACACTTCCATTTAAAAGTTTGGAGATTTTTTTAATGGTTTTGAAAGGAGTCTTATATGCTCACCAATGCTGCATCTATTTGATCACAAATACAATAAAAAAGGAAATATTTTGAAATATTATTACAATTTAAAATAACAGTTTCTATTTTAATATTTGTAAAAGTCATTTATTTCTGTGATGGCAAATCTGAATTTTCAGCATCATTACCCCAGTCTTCAGTGTCACATGATCCTTCAGAAATATGCGGATTTGCTGCTTAAGAAACATGTCTCATTGTTATCAGTGTTGAGAACCGTGATACATTTCTTCCAAAATTGATGAATAGAAAAAAGAACAGCATTTAATTGAAATAGAAATCTTTTGTAATATTATATCGATCAATTGAATACATACTTGTTGAATAAAAGTATTAATTTCTTAAAGAATCTTACTGAAAAAAAAAAAATTCATTTATGTATTTTGGAATTGCATTGGCTACTTTTTTATCTGTTGATCACTACAAATGAACGACTGGAGAAGTCATTGAAATTCATTGGTCAAAAATTTGTGGGATGCCTGATTTTTGCCCTGATCAGAGAAATCACGTGATTTCTCCCGAGGGGGAAATTTCTACCGACCACCCACCATCTTTAATTAATGCAGGAGAGTTCATATACATGCTCCTTCATTGCAGTGTGATTTAGTAGAGTTCTGCTCCTAAATTAGCATCATTCATGTCTTTATGCACTGGGAATTCAGCAAGATTACACAGCGCTGTTAAACCTTTGGCATGTGTTTGAAAAGGCCCTTAAAATGACTACTTTCATAAACTAGAACCACAACTTGAAACCTCGTAGATCTTCAGATTTCAGATTAATTTTGTTTAGAAATTAGCTTAAACCAACTCCACATTTCGTGACAGAAGTGTTTTTATTATTTTTCCAGAGATGTATATATCAAAGTTTATACCAAACTTTTTATTGAAAGGCTTTTTCATTCCACTTCTGGCAGTCTGTTCATTTGTTCTGTGTTTTTAGGCCGGTGGATGCTGCCTCAGAAGGGACCAATCCTGCCCTAGATTCATTGTGGAGGCGTTACAGCGAGTTTGAGCTGCTTAGAAACTATTTGTTAGTTACCTATCCATTTGCGGTGGTTCCGCCATTGCCTGAAAAACGGGTATGCAAACAAGACGCCTTAGTTACTACTGCTTGTAAATGTGATTTGAATTCATGCACTGTAACATCATACTTTTTGCAACAGGCTGAATTTGTTTGGCACAAGCTGTCAGCAGACAACATGGACCCTGACTTCGTGGAGAGGCGTAGGGTTGGACTAGAGAACTTCCTGCTCAGAGTGGCCTCACACCCAGTCCTGTCCAGTGACAAGATCTTCTATTTGTTCCTCACTGAGGTAGAGAGGTCTCACTAAAGCTGTCTGGACAAAGCAAAGGGTGTATCAAACCAGTAGCATGCCACTCGCACTTTGAAATAGAAAGGATATTCTATTTGCGTCTTTGATTTTAACATTTGTGCTTAATTCCTAATTTGTAATTAACTTAAAAAGTTTTTGTAGATTTTTAAATAATTAATTTCTGTTTCTATTACGCTGTCAGTTGTTTAAAAAAAAAAAAAGAAAATCAACTGATGACCTAGTAGAAATATAAATGAATTGAAAAAATAAATAATCACATATAATCGCATATACAATACCAATGAATAAACATACAATTTTCAAGGCAGATAAACAAAGTATGGGTATTGTAGATATTCATTATAAGAAGTGGCTTTTGAAGCCAATATTTTCATTTTATTTCTATAACACTACTATGCAAACGTTTGGGATCAGTACGATTTTTAAATGTTTTTGAGCAAAAATACAGTGATAATGTAATATTGGCGAATAATATTACAGTTTAAAATAACTTTTTTTATTTGAATATATTTTAAAATGTAATTTATTCAAAGCTTCACTCTTCAGTGTCACTTGATCCTTCAGAAGTCATTCTAATCGGCTGATTTGGTGCTCAAAAACATTTCTTACTTTTATCAATGTTGAAAACAGTTGTGCTGCTTAATATTTTTGTGGAAACTGTGATGCATTTACGGTTTAATGCTGAATAAAAAAAACTAAAAATCCTACTGATCCCAAACTTTTTGAACGTTAGTGTAAGATTATCAATGGCCTACAGTCCAGCAATTCATAAATTGTGAATTTAATTAATTGAACTAAATTAATTTGTTAAATTGACAGAACTAATGTCACTTTTGCCATTTGAAAACAAAAAAAAATATTTATGGCTTTTCATGCTGATAATGCCCTTTGTCAGTGTCAGAAATTGCATCCTTTCTTTGCCCCACAGGAAAATGGTTGGAAGGAAACCATGTTTGAGACAGGATTTCAGGCGAAGGTATATCAGCACTTTCCAGTTCATTGGGTTCTTTCTCTCTTTAAACCTCTACCCACGACTCTGTTATTTATATATTGCTCCTCACCATAGGTCAATATATATATATATATATCTATATGTTGATATGAGGCTGACTAAATATGTGCTGATTTCAAATAAAAATTGTGTGAAGTAACTGAATTGCTACTGCGGTGAAGAATCTGTTATCAGTACGCTGTAGTTTATGTAAACAGGCACAGGAAGTCTGTTGGACCGTTCTGGTTCAAACCCAAAAGAGCAGCAGTGTTTTATGTTAGTGTATATTATTGCCATATTGCAGTGTTTATCTGATCTCAGTCGTTTAAAAAGATTGTTGTAAGGACTGCCTGTAATCCTGTTTTACACCATCTGAATAAACAAAACCCAAACATGAATCTGTCTGTCAACATTTGGCCTTTGTCCATCTTACAGGCCGATTCAAGATTGAAAGCTTTAAATGCCACATTCAGAGTGAAGAATCCAGACAAGTAAGTCATTTTTGCAAACCGTGCTACGCAGTGTCATGAAATGCATAAAGATATGGCCGTGCTGTTTGTTAACACTGAAACTAACATTGAGCCGTGTGTGTGTTTCACAGGCGATTTGCAGAAATGAAACACTACGGTGATGAGCTGCAATCTGTTATTTCGCAGCTGCTGAGAGTTCGTGCAGTGAGTATAAACAAAGTCAAGACAGCCGAATATGCAGCTTTTTCACTCCAACAAATGCCTAATTTAAGTATTGCATATATTAGGTGTTATTAGGGATAAAAATTGTAAGGAAAGCGATTCTGTTGATTTCATTAACGGTTCTTTTAGTACTTTTGAGGAAGCAGCACAATACTGTTTTAGCCAACTTGTTTAATTATTCTTCTGAAGTACCATTTATTCCAACAAAAATCTTCTGATTGTATATTTTCATATGAACAGTCTGTATTTACACTGATTTACAGTAAGTCTTGAAAGTCTCTGTTTTTGCTTTTTTATATATCTGGTTGGATTTGAATCATAGAGTGAATCTAATGAAAATGTGCTTTTTAAAAAATATATATAATCATTTACTAACAGAGTTCAACTCTTCTTTTAGAGAGCAGCTGATCGCCTGTATGGAGTCTACAAAGTGCATGGAAATTATGGAAGAGTCTTTAGGTGATGTTTTTTTGAAGGAATAGTTCACTCAGATATGGATGATTTTCTTATGTCATGTCAAAACTGATATGGCTTACTTTTTTCTGTGGGACACAAAAAGAGATGTTTTGCAGTATGTCCAGGCTCCTCTTCTCCATATAATGACCATGTTTATATGCATATCATTGTCTGATTATGGTCTATATTTTGGTTAAGACTTTATTCCAAGTATGCATTAAATTTATCAAAAGTAAAAACTTTTGCATTGCTACAGAAAATCAATAATGCATATAATCATGGTCAACAAATAGCTACATTAAAGTCTATATACGACCTGTGCATTATATTTCACGTCATCTGAAACTATACAATCATTGTGTAATGAATAGACCAGTTGCTCCACATTTTTCTCACAGTATAATCAGTACACAGTTCAATCACAATTAAGTATGCTCATTTTGAAGGAGCCAGGCATGTTTTATAACGTGCTCTGTAAACCATTTTTGTGAGAAGCATTTTTGGGGGTAAATCTTTTGGGTTGTGAGTGTGTAGCTGCGGTCAGCTGCAGTGGTTCAATGTGAGTCTTTGTTTGTTTTGGACAGCGAATGGAGTGCCATTGAGAAAGAGATGGGAGATGGGCTGCAGAGCGCTGGCCATCACATGGACGCGTGAGTTCACAGCATATGCAACATAGCCACTTTATGAGCCATTCTCATGTACCTTTATGGGATTAGTGCAAGACTTTATTGCAGCTGGTCTTGATTGTGTTTCTCCTACCTGGGACGATCCTGTTACCCTCTGAGAGCTCATTGAGGGACCTGAAATATGAAGGTGCTGTATGATACACCCCATGACTCTCCCGTGATTCTACACATGTGTGCTCCTGGTACTGAGCTATAAAACACATTTGCCAGATTGATCTGAATCCTCTCAGATTTCCATTCACGGCCCCCCCATAACAAGTAGCCAGTAAGATGAGCCCTTGGGAGGCTTGTGTTTTGATTTGGCTGGCAGGCCGTGCCGCGAATCTCCGGGAGCCATGGCCAAACCATTTAGTGGTAATTTTTTTTTCAACATTATGATGATGATGTTGTTGTGAGAGGGACTTTCTTGCAGAAGTGTCCTTAGTGAGTCTTTAACCAGCCCCTTTCGTTTCTATACTGGTTTTGTATTGCTGTCTGCTCTGATGGATTCCAGATTGCTGTACTAGGCAGAAAGGTCAAAGGTCAGAGCCCAATGCGCTGCCTGTCTGTCTCAGCACTGAAAGAAACAACCTGTCCATCATCAGCCCCTATTTGGCAGCTGTCAAACTGTTTTATGGATCATGTTGCTCACCTATTCCCAGAATTCCTTGTAATACCCCAAACAGGCTCTGCTGCGGGTTTGGCTTTAGTTCCACAGGCTCTCTGTCTGATTTAGAGAGGATAACGCATTTAGTATTACAAGAATGCCAGTTTGTGACATTAGGTATGACCAAAATATTCATGGTTTCTTCAGAATATCATGGTCACAGTATATATAAAAAGTTATAGTTATTGGAAACCCAACAAAAAGTGTTTTATATATTAAAAAACATGTGGTCATGCCAATTTTTGTTGTTAAATGAAAAATACTTCATCTCATATATTTATTTTATCTTTGACTCGGAACTCGATGAAAACAATCCAAAAGATTTATGACAAAAGATACTGAGTAACACTGAGTTAAAAACATAAGACTCTAAACAACTAATTTAACAAACAGATGGTTCTTACTATAATTTATTCAAACATTCATAATTTCATTGGTCATGTTCAAAGCTGTCAAAGTAGCCGTTAAACAATATTTTTCAACAAATTTGGGGTCAGTTTTTTTTAAATCTTTTTAAAAGTCTCTTCTTCTCACCAAGGCTGCATTTTTTTTTAAAAACAAACAAAAAAAAAACAGTAATATTGTGAAATATCATTATAATTCAAATAACTGTTTTCTATTTTAATATATTTAAAACTGTAGCTTATTTCTTTGATGCAAAGCTGAATTTTTCAGATTTTATTCTGGAATCTTTGTTGAATAGAAAGTACAAAAGAACAGCGTTATATGAAATAGAAATATTTTGTAACATTGTAAATGTCTTTGCTGTCACTTTTAATCAATTTAATGCATCCTTGCTGAATACAAATATACCATATAAAGTAATTTCTTTCAACAAAAAAAAAATCTTACTGACTTCAAACTTAGCGTACGCACATCTGTGACCATATCAGGTGAAGTACATGGATGTTTTGTATGTCAACTACCCTTTAATCAGGCACTTTTGTATGTTACAGGTATGCTGCTTCTGTAGACGATATTCTAGAGGAAGAGGAGCATTATGCTGATCAGCTGAAGGAGTACCTTTTCTACGCAGATGCATTAAGGTACAATATTCATTGCCTCATTCATTACTGTTACGTTGCCTCATCTTAAAGGGATAGTTTACTCAAATTGAGAATTGTGATCATTTATTTCCCTGAACTACTTTAAATGTGACCTGAAGCATACTAAACGCAAGCTGTTATAACAGTGAGGTTGATTAGAAATGTACATGGGCCCTGTTCTCACTGAACTCCTGGGAGCTGATAGCCCCCACTGGCTGATTAAGTTACATGCAACTTTTGGTACACTGTGAACACAAAACTCCATCAGTTCCCAGTTTTCTTGAAAGTGATCACACTGCAGGGCGTCTAGACTTTCAGTTCAACAATTTCCATAAGAAACAAGGAGATGATCTGCTTTTATGGTTGATTTTGTATATTTTGTGGTTTGTGTGTTTACACAGGACAGTGTGTAGGAAGCATGAACTGACACAGTATGAACTGGAGATGGCCGTCCAGGATCTGACCTCTAAGAAACAGCAGCGAGAGGAACTCGCCACAGGGGTCAGTGTACATTCAACCACATGACACAATTCAGAGACCGGCGAACTCCACATCACCCCTTACATCTGGAATGGGGGACTTTCCAGGAAGATTTATTTAAACCAGTGCCCATATCATATCACAAGAAGGAGGGAAAAAATAGGCAAACAATTATAAAACATAAGTAATATATAAAACACTTTTTGTTTTATTTCTGTTTTTAAATGTATAGAATATAAGTGTTCATGATTTAAAAATATACATTTAAATATAGCATAGTTTGATATAATGCAGCATTTACTACAGCATTTACATTTACTCAGTCAAGTTTAATTTTTGGCCCTTCACAGTAAAAATTTAGAACATCTTCAGGTTTGCATGCTAGTGAATGTTTTTTTTTTAACAGTTTTATGCTGATAAAATTGTGTCTGCATGTATAGAGCCTGTAGAGAATTACCTCATTGGCACATTTAACATGCAAACATTTTAGCAGCACAAAGAGCCAACAAAATACAAAAGACATTCTGACCCGATTGGCTGATGTGAATAATTACTAGGCCCACTTGGCCAAAAAATGGGAGTAAAAACTTCCATATTTCAGCTTTCTGCAAATAAACATGGGAGGAAAAGTGTGGTTTACTCCAGCCAATGGGTGTCATTGACTTTTTTTTTTCTGTGTAGACAATACGGACCTTCTCTCTGAAGGGAATGACCAGTAAACTGTTTGGACAAGAGACCCCAGAGCAGAGGGAGGCCAAACTGAAAATGCTGGAGACACAGATTGAAGAAGGAGAGGAACAGGTCAAAGAAAGAAACGCAGAATGCGAGTAAGCAGTGCACTATTCCCACACAACTAAATTTATGTACTGCTGATGACGAAAAGCAATAAATGTTGTCGGAAAATTTTACTTAATTAGGTGGTTTATGAGCTGACAAGGTTGCACAACAAAACTGCATTGCCTTCTCATTTCCTGTGGCAGTACGGAAATTATGAAATATGCAGATATGCTCCAAATACACATTCTTTGCTCATATTGTTGCATCTCTGAGACACCAAAATGAAACCCAAAACAGGCTAAATATGCAGGGTTTCTTAAAAATAAGTAGATTTGAGGATACGGCCATTCATGTCAAGCTTCATCGGAGTAGTTATTTCACACCAAGAATCTTTCGTTTTTATGTTTTTTTTGTAGTGAGTTTGTGAAAAGTGCATGGGTGGACATTGAGAGGTTCAAAGAGCAGAAAGACCATGATCTCAGAGAGTCTCTCATCAGCTATGCCATCATGCAGATCAGCATGTGCAAAAAGGTGAGCACCGTCAAAGCAAGCAAAATAAACTTAAAAAATGATTTAGTCATTACAAAGCAAGCAAAAAAAAAAATCTTTATACTGATCAGACACAAGGTAGAAGTGATATAGTGGCACTGAAACATAAGCATGTTTTGTTTTTAGGGAATTCAAGTGTGGAACAATGCTAAAGAGTGCTTCAATAAGATGTGAGGGTTCCAGCTACGACAACCAGAACACCAGGAGGCCTTGGAGATGTCAATCCAGAGAAGCACACACTCCTAGAGACTGACCTTGGGGACTAAATTCTTCCTCTCAATCCTAAACATGTGTCAGCCTCTTGCACCAGATGCTCTGGTGTAAAAAGGTATCAAATAATATTGACATACACTAGTTTCTGAGTCCAAATAATGAATGAATGGGGTGCTGTTTTATTTATTTCCACGTTCACCAGCCAGATTTTAGACCTGGTTACTTTTGTGACTGCACTATTTTGACCTACACAAGAGCTTGTGAAGGTAATGGACAATTCTTAACACTTCAGACAGAAACAAAAGAACGACTTAATTAGTATTGATTAATCTTGAACAATGGAATCATTTCTTTATAATTTGTCTTTTTCTTGATGCTGTTTGATGTCAGAATGTGTGCTAAAATCATTCCTTTTTCTACGTTCCATTAAAGTTTTTACTACTTTAGCTCACCATAAAACAAAAGCACAGGTTAAAATTGGCAAGGCAAAATAAGAGAGTGGGATTTTGAGGGGGAAAAAAGTGAATCCAGCAGTTCCATTTTTATTTTACCTTACACCCCTCTTCATAATGGTGGTCTTGCACTTCTGGAATGTGTCCAGTTACTGTGGCACATGCAAAATTATCTTTATCACCTGGTGCAGAGGACTTTCTAAGATTTCCTAAGAAAGGAAAGTAACTTATTCGCATGCAAACTAAATTTGCCCTGACGCCCATACAGCTAACAAAGTTGAATAAATTCATCATAATATGCTGATCTGTCACTTTTCTGCACATTCAGTCATAAAAACATAAGCTGTTTATACCACTGACCCCCTCCCTTTATATGGGTCAGTTCATCTGAAAAATATTAATATGCTGTTTATGCCTTATTCAAGCATATTTTCTTTGTTGCCACAGCTTCCACTATGAATGCCATATTTGTCGTTTGTTATGAAGAGTGGGTGGGTGGGTCAGTGTTTTGATATAAATCTGGCTAAAGAATAGGAAGGTCACAGGAAAGGCAGAATATAGTAATTTCCTCATTTTAGAGCTGCATGTTTAACTCGGCCTGACCCCTGGTCATTTGGTTCATTTTTTGGTTTAGAGTGGGGCAGAGATAACCATTTTGTATATATTCTGTTCAAATCATTGTTGTGTAACACTAATGATAATAAAAAAAATGACCATTATCATTTGGCTTGTGTTTTCATTTGTAGCGAAGGTCGCACAATTTTAGTCTTGTCTACTTTAAATTTGTTGTGTTCATCTTTTTGATAGTCTTGAGAGCTCTGCAGTGATCTTTTTTTTTATGTGGAGTTCATTTTGATTATGTTTGTACAGTTTGAGGTGTAACATTAACAAAAATACACCGTGTATGAGAATGCTTATGTATATAACCAAATATATTTAAAGTTTAATCAAGTTTAAATCTGTCAAACTACAAATGTCTTGTTATCGCTGTACATTAAACTGAGGTGGGAGAAAGTATTTTAACATTGAAAAAGAATACATCTTTTAACGTGAGCTGTGTACTGGTGAAAAGAGTGCTTTTCTTTAAACTGATAAATTGTAGAGATCGCTACTGCCTCAGCCATTTTCTCAGGAGGAATCTCCATTTGTTGTTTTTTTTGTTGTAATGCTTCCCTCTAGTGGTGTGTTGTTATACGTATGAACAACTTTTTATAACTAAAACCTTTGATATAACAGACAGGTCAGATGTTTGGCTTTGTTTGAAATTGCAAGACATGGTTTTAACCAAGGTAAATGAGTGGACACTTTTTTTCACAGTTCTTCATTTTATCCAGTTAAATTTCTTATCAAATTGAGCCAAAATCAGAAATGAATGTTTTTATATTTAAATGCCACCATTTCACCTCTTCAAGTTGATTTTAGGGCAGTGCTCCTCATCCTTTTTGACTTAAAGGCCCCTCATTTTCCAACACTATATTCAAGAGTCCCTCATATTGGATATATTTTCTATGGTATTTGTCTTGTAATTATGATGCTAGTTGTTTTTTATTAACAGAAACTTAATTAAACATTGATTCATTTTGTGATTCGATTATATTTAATGTCCTTTATATTTTTTTCAATAATAATAAAAGAAAAGTTGTTGAGAGGAACTGTTTTATGTTGTTTTTAGCATTTTAATTATAATTTTTTAGATAAATAATTTAAGTTATCCTGTGGCCCCCTTGGAAGTTTGTTTTAGGAGCTTATTTAACCTTTGAGGGTCTGTTTCTTTTCACATACAACAGTGCATAATTACAGTTTTTTATGTAAAAACATTAAAATGTATCTTAAAATGCCTTATGTCAAGTCATTAAAATAAATGTACAATCTGAACAGAGATAATTAGGCTATCTGAACAGAGATATGCGTATCTAGATAGATCTGAAATAAAATATAACCCGTTGTTACAAATTTAATGTTTGTTTGTTTGTTTAGTCTGCACAATTAATATTTCAGGGACTTTATTATTGCTATTATTATTGTTGTTGTTTTTTTTAAATACAAAAGTCCCTGATAAAAAAATTCTTGATTCTATTATATGAGTTATATGGGGGTTAATAATTGAGGCTTAGACAGGGTGAGAGAAATCTTGGTCCACCTGATTATGAATAAATCAATTTATATAACATACCACATAATTCTCTATTATTAACAGCAAGCAAACACGTCCTGTCAGAGTCTCATCAGAGCGGGTCCGCTGCGATCCCACAATGCACCGCTGCGCTGCTGCAGATGGAATGTAGCTCGCTAGCCTCTCATGCTAGCCGCGGCATCGCAGTAAAGTTTGACAAACACATCATGAGCGGCTCGAACCCGCCGCCAGCGCTGCACTGACAACACATGCGGTATGTATAATCTTCATCCGCGAAGGTCTTCGATACAATCAGCCGAGAAAATGTTTGCAGTCCGGCCTCTGTGTGCGTGATGAAACGGCAGCATAGAAATTGAGATCAGGCCGATTTTAAACTACATTCATATATTAAAATACATTAAAGTCATTATTAAAATACAGTAGTCTTATTAAGCTCAAGTCAAATTAAATGCGCAGTTGTATCTCTGACAGTGGCAACAGGCAGCCAGTGTTATGCTTGAGTGTCACACACTGTAAATGTACTTTATGCCATGTACTTTAAGTTTATTTATTAGTTTATGAACACCAGCATTATTAAGTCTGTATACATAGAGCTTAAACTCTTATCTTTTTTTAAACCATACGTTGATCCACTTCCTATGCGGGTCGTATTTAGTTAAGGTTGATGATTGACATGTCATACATGACTTTTACAAAGTCTATGCATATGGAATATTGTTTTTTGTTTTCTTCACCACTGATATAATTTTTGCTTTTCTACAGTCAAGATTTACTTGCTCACTGGGCGCATTAAGGGAGGATTATCTGTAGAGATGCTTAGAAACAATATGTATTGTGAAAATGCTATAAAAATAAGATTGATTTGATTTGACAGTGTCATGTGGTTAAATCTGTTATGGCAAAGCTGCAGGATGCCAACCAGCTCATATAAGTCAGTAGAATAAGAGAATAATTATGTAAAGGTCATCCTGGGTTAATAATGAATCTCAATCAGGTATGTTTGTAAATATTCATATTAATAATATTCATATTTATGAGGCCAATATCAATGATTAGAAAAGTACAGCAGGGTTAAATGCGGCTTTAATCTTTCAGTATTGATAAGTACGAAAATACAGATTGTTTCAGAGCAGCTTCACAGTAATAACAGCTATATAGCAGCTCTACTGCAGCTTTTTATATTTTTATCCAATAGTGTCATTACAGTTAGATTGATACTTTTTTTCTGAATATAATAAAGTCTTAAGCCTCATTAAAATAGTAAGAAATTATGTATTACAATCCACTTGGAGTCAACTGGTTCATAATGAGATGTAGAAGCAGGAATCTGACATAAAAAGGCATGAATGCTTCCTAATTAAATTAGTTTATGCTGCAGTGGCAATTCTGACAATAACTGTTCTAGACGTGTCAAGTCAGATTGAGTTTATTGTCATTTCTCCTCTTCCTAGCAGGTGATGAAAATGATTTTGATTTGATTGCACATAGAGGCTAGACCAACACTGGGTTCCAAAAGTCTGAGATCACATTGAAAATATCCTCCTTTTTTATTTAAACCTTGAAATAACGTTTTAGGATTTTTCAAAAGATCAAATTCCACAAGATACTCTTTGGATCATTCTCAAATCATGCTGGAGAATATGGATCATCAGGTTTTGCTGCTGCTTGTCAAAAGGGGGGGTATGAGGTTTGTTTTCTTTAAACTCAAACTTGTTGTTTCTCTCAGCCAGGTCAACAGAGAGGAAGTGCTGTGAACGCAGCTGTGTTGACTGCTGATTGGAATCCTTATGTTGGTCCTGTCTCTTCCTGTAGCTTCAGCTCAACTGCTCAGCATTCAGCGATGAACATTGATGAAAAGTTGGAGGGGATGCTTATGAAATGTAGCCCTGTGGGGCTTCATCACTCTTCCAGAGCTTTGGGACCCTCAAGGGTGGACGGAAGAGGAAGGAGAGGCAGTTTGGTTATGACACTTGGGGAACGGAGCTTGGCTAATCATCCCCTTTTGGCAGAGAGCGATGAACATTGATGAAAAGTTGGAGGGGATGCTTATGAAATGTAGCCCTGTGGGGCTTCATCACTCTTCCAGAGCTTTGGGACCCTCAAGGGTGGACGGAAGAGGAAGGAGAGGCAGTTTGGATATGACACTTGGGGAACGGAGCTTGGCTAATCATCCCCTTTTGGCAGAGGATGATGATGATGATGATGATGATGAAGATGATGATGATGAAGACCTGGCAGGTGGAGGCCTAACCTCGCATGATCTGATATCCCAGGATGACCTCATGGTTCATGAGGAGATGGTGAAAAAGGACGGACAGGATGAAGCCGCTTTCTCACAGCGAATCTCCCATAAATTACACTATACACTCAATATGCCAGTAAGTGTACAGCTGTTCGAGCTGATTAAGAGCTAATTATTGCTGCACTTTAACAATATTATTTATTTTACTTGTGCAAGTTCCAACAGCCTTGTCAGTGAACCAAAACAAACAGTGAGTAAATATTGGGTAAAGTAAGTGTGCATTTCTTTTCAGCAAATTTGCACAAAGCTGATTTGTCCGAATTAAACTGTATTATGGCTATATCGTGATAAAAATAAATGTATAAAAATATATTCAGTAAATGAATTTAATTAATGATTGTTGTTGTTACTTTTGTTAGGTAAATATAAAGCAGGAGATGAAATTGCCAGACTCATTGATTCTCAATAAAAAGGAGAAGAAACCAGGGAGGGACCCATCTGACTGTCACAAAAAGAAGAAGAGAAAGCAGCACTCGCCTGCAAAGGTTTAATATAATTCATCAGAGATGCCACTGATAAAATACCAATATGCTCTAAAATACCAATTCTCTAAGTGAGAGATACTTTACAGTGCAAAACTGGTGGTAAAGTAATTTAAAGTTTGATGTGAGGTTGAAAGTGTCCTGAAATTGCTTAATTTGTCTGCTTGCTTTTTTAATATAATTTTATTTGTATTAAAGGCTGCTTGCTTACTGAGGTGATTGTACTCATAGAAATATTATTATACTAAAAACTGCAGTGCACATCTTGACATTTATCATGTCATTTTATGGTATTGGTTAGCCAGGACATAAAGTATTATGACCACACAGATATGCTCTAAACGAGCACAAGCATGAAAGATAAGGTACAGTAGATTTTGAAATATATTTCCTTGTTAGATTCTCACTATTAATGAAGACGGCTCCCTTGGGCACCAGAACCCGAAATCTCATGTCTGTGAGCACTGCAATGCTGCTTTTCGGACAAACTACCATTTACAAAGACATGTCTTCATTCACACAGGTAAGTGGTGTAATGTGTTTTGGGAATAAATGACATCTAAAAGAACAAAATGGTGAACAATTTTATATTTTGCAGGTGAAAAGCCTTTCCAGTGCAATCAATGTGACATGCGCTTTATTCAGAAGTACCTGCTTCAGAGACATGAGAAGATCCACACAGGTAAGCAGAGAGGGATTAAAAACATTGTACCAGTGGCAAAAAAAAAAAAAAAGTGTTTTTCATTCAAAACATTTTCTTCAAGAATGTACAGTGAAATCTTTAGAGTCGATGATCTATTT